ACAACAACAACAACAACAACAACAACAACAACAACAACAACAACAACAACCAAAACTAGCCACCTCCAGATAGTCTTGGGTCAGAATAAAATATGCAGTGCTGGCTTACTAGTTTCAATTCAGCAATGTCTGCATTACAAATTAAGTTATATTGCTTCCAATGAACTTGTCCATATTAGGCAGGTTTAACTGGAGGATGCTCATGCAAGAGGACACCCCCCTCCTGCAGATACACTAAATCCATGTCCAGACTTCTTATGCTACCTGGAATTAACTAGAGATTACGTTGTTACCTATCCAAATCAGTCCCTGCTGGCTGAGAATGATGGGAGTAGGACTCCTTTGGAAGGGAAGAGGTCTGAATCATACTGATAATGATGTAAAATGTGTTCTTAAAAATGCCACAACCAAACTAAACCATTGTTTCAAGAAATTGACCAGCTTGGACTATAACACATGACACAGGTTTTATCATTCATTTTGTGGGGTCAGAGAGAGAACCATGAGAGAATAATATCTCAGAAAACAAACGGACAAAAGATAATCTCAATAGAACAGAAAACTGGATGGAATCTAGCCAAATAAAATTCATCCATGGAAAATGCATAGTTCTGTTTTCATCTGGGCAAAATGTCTGTTTATTGTTGTTGTTTTTTCAGTCACATTCATATGTATAGGACGGAGGACACCAGTCTAAAAGTAGTCCTGTAGTCAGAACTGCAGTCAATCATAAGCCGAACCTGAGCCAGCAGTGCAAAGCAACTATGGAAAAAAGCTAACACACTGTGAGGCTGCAATAACAGAACTATACTTTCCAAACAACTGTTTTACAACATTCAAAACTAGCCACTCCCCATTTTCAGTATTGTGTCTTGTTGTGGGTGCTGCACTTTCAAGAAGCAAGCAAACAAACAATGTAATTCCCCAAAGTAACTTTTCAATACTGTATGCATCCTATGGGAAAAGGTTGAAAAACTGGATATGTTTGAGCCAAGGTAAGAGAAGACTAAATGGGGATACAGCAGCATTCTTCAAATAGCTAGCAGGCCGTTACACAGCAGCGGGCAAGACTTAACCTTAGCTGTCTAGAGGGCAGGATTAGCTCAAAATGGGGGCAGAGCTCAGTTGAACACTGAGAAGCATATCTTGCTGGTAAGAGTACTGGCCAATGGAGTAAATTACCTACAGCGATGGAGAGCTGCCCCACACACTAGTGCTCTCTAGCCAGAAACAGCACAGACATCAATGGGGGATGCTCTTCTCTGGATTTCCTCCTCTGTGGAGGTAGGACCTCATGGTCTCCAAGCCACATTTCCCTAATTCTTCTATACACCAATGAGTGCAGCGTGGAAATACTACTGTTTTGGACTACAACTCCCAGAATCCCTTCAGTCAGCATGTGAGTCACAGTCCAAGAAAAAAAAAACAGCAAAGGGGGAATAATGCTTGCCAGCTTTGGCAAAGGATATAAAACAGAATAGCAATGATAATAATGAGCTTTCACCCAGTGAAGCTGGAAATTTAAAATCCCCATTCTCCTCTATGTCATGATACTGAAAATTACAGGCAGTGCCTGTGGAAGGAGAGGAAAGAAGCAGCTCACCTAATTCCTCAAATTCCCACCCCCATCCCTAAATAATATGCCCCTGGCTCCACACAGGCCTGGCCTTCTTCCACTCTGGCTGCTGGCTCCTGTGGCTTTAGAGGGAGAAATGCTGACTTGAGGAATATACAGCCATTCTCCTAAAAATGTCTTCTAAGGAACGAGCACACATTGAGCCTTGAAGCCTGAATGCAGGGAACAGAGCACCGCTGTGCGGTTCCCACCTCTTCCTCCAAGCGAGGGCAGCCAATAGCTGGCAGTGAGTCACCTGCATGAGAAGGCAGGGTTTCTCTTCTGGTCCACCCCATCACCTGGGTGACAACTGGAAGCACACCCACTTCTTTTGTTAGCTACAGACCAGTGGGTGGAAGCGCTCTCTTCTCAAACTGGATCAACCTACACAACAACCCTGTGTTCCTCTCCTCCCTTCATGAGCAGTCTTGTTCTTTCAGATGCACAAGGAGGATGTTTCTAAGAGGGCTAACCAAAGAGATTTTGGCTCCTGAAGCAAAGCAAGAAATGGCAGCTCACCCATCCATCCAAGCCAATATGCGTAGCATCTTCAGCCACCTGTCAGCTGGGCCCATGGAGCAGAAGGCCCCACCATTCCCCCTCTTCATTTCAGGCAATACAAATATAACAGTATGAGTAGTGGTTAGAGTTGGGGAACGAGGACTTAGGAGATGAGGACTGAAATCCCCATAGCACCACAAATCCCTCTTTTTCAGCCTATCATTCCCTTTCTCATCCTGACCCATGTCACAAGATTGTTGTGAGGATAAAGAAGAGAGGCAGGCAGCCACACACAATGGCCAAAATCCTGCTCCTTAGTACAGTAAATCACACTAGAGTTAGGCCTATTGAATTAATAGGGATTTGGTGAATCAACAACTTCATAAGTTCCATGAATTTAAATGGGTGTTCTCTAACTGAGGGTTACTTTAGCATAGTAATTCAATTAGAATACGCTGATTTAAATCAATGAAACTTATGGAGAAATTGACTCACCAAATCCCCACTGATTTAATGGGCCTACTGTAGTGCAATTTACTGTACTAAGTAACAGGATGTTAGACTCTGCCTTGAGGTCACTAGAGGAAAGGCAGATTATAAATGTAATAAATAAATAAGAAATAAGAACAAAGTGAATTTGATAGCTGCTTCTGGTCATTTAAAAGGTAAATAAGGGGACAGGAATCCAGCCTGCACTGGATAGGGTTACACTCCCCCACCCCCCCAAAAAAATAATTCAAGTTCACAGCTTGGGTGTGCTCCTGGATTCAACTCTGAACTTAAATGCACAGGTCTCAACGGTGAGCAGGAGTGCATTTGCACAGTTAAAGCTGGTGTGCCAGCTGTGCCCATTTCTCAAGATGCCTGATCTGGCCATGGTGCAATATGCCTTAGTTATTTCTTGTCTAGAATATTACAACGTGCTTTATGTCATCTGCCTTTGTAGTGTTTGGAAAATTCAGCTGATTCAAAATATTGCAGACAGACAGCTTGCTGACTGGCACTGGTTACAGAGAACATATAACTCCCCTATATTTCAACAGCATCTCTTGCTGCCAGTCTGTTTCCGGGACCAATTCAAAGTGCTGTTTATTACTTATAAAGCCCTATACAGCTTGGCTCCAGGCTGTTTGAAGGACCATATCACTCCATATGAGTCTCCTCAGCTTTTAAGATTTCCCAGGGAGGCCCTTCCCAAGATAGTTTGATGAGGACAGGGGAGAGGAAGGGCCTCCTCAGTGGCTACTTCCAGGCTTTGGAAGGCAGTGGCCTGAGAAGCCAGGTTGCCCTCCCCCCTCTTCTCCCTTCATTATCAGACAAAGACTTTCTCTTTCGGACAGGCTTTAAGCAATACACTATGTGGAACTCTAGGGAATGCTGTATTTATCAAATGTGTCAACTTCTAAATGTTTTTAAATGTGTTTTTAATCTTAGTTTTAAAACTGACAAATGTTTAGATTTTTTAAAAATATAGTTTTGTATAGTATCGACAGGCTTTAAGCAATACACTATGTAGAAGTCTAGGGAATGCTGTATTTATCAAGTGTGTCAACATCTAAATGTTTTTAAATGTGTTTAGATTTTTTTAAAATATAGTTTTGTATAGTATTTTAAACCTGTTAATATTGTGTAGCAAACACCAAGTTTCATGATGTTTAAAATGTGCTACGTGTGGTCACTCTGCCTAAGTGAAACTCTGATTTCTAGTTCCAACGTTTATCCTCAAAAGTGCAAGAAAAGTTTGCTTCCCTTTCAAGACCATCAAGAGAAAGTTAGAAGAGGACCTCCTCTCACTAGCGCGCTTTTCCTGCAGGTGACTGACTCCTGGAGCTGCTGATTTCCATCTCACCTCCTTCACACCTTACTTGTCATGTTAAAATATTTTGTGTTTGGGTATGAAGGTGATGGCTGGGAAGGGGGGAAAGTAGCAAATGACCTTCAAGTTCCTTCACGTTTATAATTCTCCGAATCTGTAACAGAGTAGACATCCACGATTCTATGTAAATCCTCATCTCCTTGTATCCCTCAAGAAATCGCTTGGAGCGCATGCTCAACATGAAGTCACTCGTCAGTATCTTACCTGTACGTAGTCCCAATTTGCGCAGACCCATAAACTGTACGGGGCAGACCCATTTGGCAGTGGATTGAATGGGGTCTACTCTCTAACTTGAAAGTAAGAAGAGGAACCCGGCCAGTGCTCTCGGGCAGCCCAGTTCTGCCACCCTTTCCCCGTTTCATCCCAGGTGCTCAGAGAGTGAGGGCTGCCCGCATCACGTGGAGGGCCTGAGGCGAGATTCTGAAGGGAACGACCGATTCCCGCCAAGATGAGGAATCACAGTCCCAAGAAATTAAGGAGCGCGTTAATTAGCGTTGCGAATGCGGGGAGGGGATGCGCTCTTGGCAAGCCACACGCGGTCGCCTCGCTCCCTCCGGGCCCTCCCTTCACCGCGACCGGGGCGCTCCGAGAATCTCCCACAAAGGTCTTTTCCCTAAAACGCGTGGGAGCCGCGGCCCGAAGGAGGGCTTGAACCCGACCTCCGGCTCCGGGGAGATTTTCACCCCCCCGCGCGCGCTCTTTCTTAGGTAGCGGCGAACTCTCCCTCGGGGAACATCCTCGCCAGCGCCAGGGGATGCAGACGAAAGGGCGCGAGGAAGAGCCAAGCCACCTACCGTACCTGCCTGCCTCCTGGGCTCGGGAGGTCGCCTGGCCGCCGCCGCCGTCCATTCCTACAGTCTGTGTAGCAGGCACTGTTCAGCACTTGAATTCAGGGAATACAATAGCAAGGGAAAATGACATCATCAGGGCACATGTTTAACTAATCACATGCAAAAGTCTTAGCTGAGCAAATAGCTTTTTGCATACTCACTATTTTTCCCCTTAGTATCATAAGCAAAGGATAATGGTTTACTAATCTGGGGACTTTCAAGATTTTCAACCGGCGGCGTCAGGCGCTGGAGAGTCCCTGGGTGGGGCTGCCGGTCCGCGCCTGGAGCCGGCAGAGGGGCAAGGCAGGAGAGGAGCGCGGGGCCGGGCGGTGAGCGCCGGGAGCGGCCGTCTCCTCGGCGGCCACCCGGGCCGAAGAGCTAGCAAGAGAGAAGGGCCACAGACAGGCTGCGCCCGCGTTGGCACCCTCCTCCGGCCCTTCACTGGCACCACCCGGGCGCTTCTCTCCCCTCGCTCTTCCCTCTTTGGCGCTCTCGGTCGCCGCTCTCCAGCTCAAGCGAGAACGTTGCCTCCGGTTTTGGCCATGTGTATGGAAATAGCGATAAAAAAGCCACTCCTGACACTGAGTCAGGAGCCCTGCGTTGTTGACTCGTACGGGGAAGGGTTCGCGACGGGCGGAACAGTTTCCCGGGCTCTCCCTTACTTTGAGATTCCGTCAAGTGAAGCGGGGAGATGCGGGGATCCTCTTGGGCACCGCCGGCGGATGTATGGACGAGGGGAGGTAATTCGTGCTAACTGACCCGGCGCAAGAGCCTCGGTGGGTCAAGCCTTCTGACTCATTCCGCCTTCGGTTGCCAGAGCGGCCAGTCGGATGCCTATGGAAAGCCCGCCGCCCCTACCCACCCCCCGACAGGAGAGCCCCCTAACCCTCCTGCTTGTGTTCTGCAGCAGCTGGTGTTGAGCCACCCACGGCCTCTCACCTGGGGATTGCGTCCATAATGTTAAATTGTGCAGCGCTCAGATGTTAATTCAATCTATTTATTTAAAATATTTTTGCCCTACCTTTCTCCTTTAAAGGAGCCGAGGCAGTTTACAGTAATTAAAAGACAACATTTAAAAGCTAAAAACAGTAAATATACAAATATTTAAAAAGAATTAAACGATTATTATATTAAAAATGGTCACTAAAATCAATAATAAAACACATTTAAAAAGGACAGTCCATTTTTCAAAACCCCCTCAGGCCACCAGATACCAATAGCGATCCTGGAGAATCAATTTCCCCCCCCCCCATGCACACATGGAAGAGTGAAATTCTTCACAATATGGGGGCCCACATAGAACCTCACCAACACAGAAGCTTTGAAGACAGATAAAGCATAGTCATGGTTATGGAGGTTAAATATTTTGGGTCGCAATGTGTCCGGATGTGAAGGAAAGTGACGGCTCACACTTCACTGCTTGCACCTGGAAAAATGGCATCAAACCAGTCAGTCATAGCTCTACAATACCTGAGAAAGGCTTAGCTCTTCCAGCTTCTCCCACTGGGACAGTTCCAGTAGTTTAAACACGCGCCTAGAGCACCTGCTATAATTGCAGTCCAAACCTCCTTTCTCACTCACACACATGGCACAACTGTCCAGGGGAGTGGAAGTGGAGTTGGGGGAGATGAGGCACGCACACCCCTCCCTGCATGAGTGCTCCCAGAAGGGTGGGCCTCCTTTTGCTGAATCTCTATGACCCCAGTATTTGCAGTTTCCATTGTCCATTCTTGGGCCTCCTTTGCTCGAGCAGTGGGGGTGGAACAGGCGCCGGGGCCCTTTCTGACCTTGCATTCTGCTAACAGAGGCTCAGTCTTTGGCATGGGGTTCTGGGAAAGTTCATGGCTGCTGGTACAGCCAGCTCCTACTGTAAGGCATTCTCTCTGCCTCCCACTCTTGGACAGGGCCCTTCTTCTCCTTCTCCCCTTCACACACACCCCCCACCCACTCCACAGGACCATCCTGTAGAACAGGTTACTGGTGTCGGTCATCCCCTAAGGACTTGTAGCCTTTTCTCAGCTCAGCTTTTGAAGGACAGTTGTGTCTAACATCTTATACTTTAACCACTAGAGGCTGGATCAAAAGGGCTGCGTGTGCTGCTGTTTTTATTGATTATAAGAGGAATTTCCCTGTATTGTTGTCTCCTTACTGCATCTCTTTCTTTCTGAATTTACAAATAACTCATACCTGTCTGCCTGTATCTTTCTACATCCACAAGACAGATACATAGACCGGTAGACGAGTGGCAATTCCTTCCCCCCCAAATCCACTGTTGGGCATCATATTTATTATGGTGAACCCAAATGCCACTTAAAATGTATGTACTTTTGAATTATTTTGTATAGTTTTCCCAGGTGGAGACAGATTATGTATTTATTTAAAATATTTTTACACCATCTTTCTCCTTAAAAAGGACCCAAGGTGGCTTACATCATTAAAAGGCAATATGTAAAGCTAAAAACAATGAGTATACAAACACTTAAAAATCAAATAAATGCCACTCTGAAAAATGTTAAACAAAAACAACATTAAAAATACATTCAAAGCAGTAAGATACAACGATCCATTTGAAAACCCCTACTCAGGCAGCCAGTCATTAAGGAAATGCCTGCTTGAAAAAAAAGTCTTTGCTTGCTTGTGGAAGGACAGCAAAGATGGGGCCAATGTGGCCTCCTGTGGGAGGGAGTTCCAAAGTCTGGGACCAGAAACAGGGAACACCCTCTTGTGTGCCCCCACTAAACACACCTGTGAGGGTGGCGGGACTGAGAGAAAAGTCTCCCCTGATGATGTTAACACCTGAGCAGGCTCACAGTAAGAGCCATGGTCAGTGAGACAGCATGGATGCAAGCAATTTAGGACTTTATAGGTTAGGACCAGCATGTTGAATTTTGCCAAGTAACAGATTAGCAGCCAGTGGAGTTGCTGTAACCGGGGGTGGGTGGGTTATATGATCCCTGTAACAAGCTCCGTAAAGCAATCTGGCTGCTGCTGCTGCAGTTTGGACCTGCTGAAGTTCCCTGACACTTTCCAAAGGCAGCCCCATGTGGAGTACACTACAGTAATTCAGCTGGGATGTATCAAAGGCATGTGTCACTGTGGCTACATCAGACCTCTCCAGGAACAGGTACAGCTGGGGCACTTGTTTTAATTGTGCAAAGGCACTCCTGGCCACCATCGAAACCTGGGCCTCTGGGCTCGGAGATGAATCTAGGAGCACACATAAGCTGTACACTTACGTTTTCAGAGGGAGTGTAACCCCATCCGACACAGTCTTTCCATTGACCAGGAGCACTTCTATCTTGTCTGGATTAAGTTTTAGTTTATTCACCTTTATCCAGTCAATTAATGATGCCAGACATTGATCTAGAGTTGAAACAGCTTCATCAGACGTAGATGGCAAGGAGAGGTAGACCTGGGTGTTATCTGCACTGTGGTGACACCAAACCCCAAAACTATGGGCAGCCTCTCTCAGCAGTTTCATGTAGATGTTAAATAACGTAGGAGACAAAACAGAACCCCGAGGCCTCCCTGCAGGCCAGTGTCCAAACACAGGTCCCCTGTCTCACTCAAGGGCTAGAACTGGTTTGAGGTATCATCTCACGCATACCTCTGATATACAGTTTCTGAATTTTTTCCGAGTTATTGCATAAGCCTGGAAAACCTGTCTGAGTAGAGGGGATGGTGGAATGTAAGTAATCTGTACTGTATGTGTATTTTGTGGGAGGAAATGGCATCTTCAAATCATTTTCTACTCTTCCAAACAATCATCTCATGTCATAAAATTATGGCCCAATAAGTTGTTTTTCTGACCAGCTTAAAGGTACTGTATATCACCAGGGAGAACAACACCTTACCTCTCCTGCCTCAAAAGATGTGTTTGTGTGCATTTTGAAAGATGCTGAAGGAAAACTGGATTTAAGGAAGGGGACCTGGTGAATCTGGAAACTCTCTTACCCCCTTTGGAGAGAAGTAGGTTATTTCCCACTCTGTGCTTTCTCTTCCACTGCTTTTGGCGCAGGGAAGAAGCATAAAGAGCCACTGTCTTACAGCTCCTCCTTCAACTTTCTGGCTGGTCCGTATAGATTGTACACACTGAAATGGCTGTAAGTTGCTCTTCAGAAGGGAATCTTTCTTAGTGCTATCTAGAGCTGGCCTTTATCAAACCTGGGGCTCTTTTAACAGCAAAATATGTCCTTGATCCCTTAACTGCTCCTCTTTATAGGTATGCCCTTTCCCTTGCTCCTTTGCGTACTCATACATAGGCTATTACTACTTGGGAGGGGGTCTCTTTCAAATGCAAGGAAACAGGCAAGGGCACTTGCTGGCACCGGCCATGATACCTTTCTGGGGGCTTCAGCAAGGTGGGATTGCTCTGCCGCTGTTCCAGTATCCACACCACCCAAACACAAACTTTATTTAGAAATGGCCAGGGATTTTTGCTCCATGGAAGTGTTTCCTGCAAAGGACACCTGTTCACACTGGAAGGGCTGCTAAAGCTGTGCCACATCCCACAGGTGCAAGTGCACTCTTCTGCTTCTGCACTCCAAGCTCGTAGAAGTCAAAGCTTGGAGGTTAAGAGACTAGCAGTTTTTAGAGTATATATTTTAATTGTATTTTAATTGTTTTATCTTTTTTGTGTGTTTAGTCGTTTAGTCGTGTCCGACTCTTCATGACCCCATGGACCAGAGCACGCCAGGCCCTCCTGTCTTCTACTGCCTTCCGGAGTTGTGTCAGGTTCATGTTGGTTGCTTCACAGACACTGTCCAGCCATCTCATCCTCGGTCGTCCCCTTCTCCTCTTGCCATCACACCTTCCTAACATCAAGGTTTTTTCCAAGGACTCTTTTCTTCTCATTAGATGGCCAAAGTACTGGAGCCTCAGCTTCAGGATCTGTCCTTCAAGTGAGCATTCAGGGTTGATTTCCTTTAGAACTGATAGGTTTGTTCTCCTTGCAGTCCAGGGGATTCTCAAGAGCCTCCTCCAGCACCACAATTCAAAGGCATCAATT